AAAAAAAAAAAAAAAAAAAAAAAAAAAAAAAAAAAAAAAAAAAAAAAAAAACTTCATGATTTATTTCCTTCTTTTTTAATTAAACAAAATATTATCAAAATAAAATCGGAAAAATCCCTAAAACTACCGGAAGATCAAGCAATGGTTAAATTACCTAGCCGTTCGTATCGTTGACTGTTTTCCGCGGTCAGAGCGAAACGGTCTTCAGAGCCGTTACCCCCGGCTTATTCCGACGCCAGCTGTCTCGGCCCCACGGGGATCATTATATATCCCTCCCGAACTCACACTCTCTTCTTCAGAACATTCTCGCACAAGAATCGGAGCGCTCCATCAACGGTCTCCTCTCTTCTGAACGCTCGTTGCCGAAATCAAACGCTAGATAATTACCAAGCAATTGGAGGAAGAGAGAGCAGAATCGAAAGGAGTTTGTCGCCTGATCCCGGTGATGAAAAATACAGGTAATGCAACTTCATTCAGCCTTTAATTTTATGGGTAGTTTGGACTTGACTACTCTGTTCTTGGTTTGAAATTTTTAAGGGCACAGTCGGCTATTCCGATTTAGGAGTTTATTGTGGAGAACTTCAGAGGTTAATCAAAGAATTGTTCTGTTTTGTTCTTCTTCTTCTTTCTTTGCCTGTTATCGACACCTTTTGTATTTTCCGTGGTTTCGATTACGGAGGATTAGGGCGTTTTTAGTCGATTTTGGACTCTTTGTTTCATTCCCCGTCATCTTCTATCTCTTCTCTGTGTGGGGAGCCAGGGGACAGATCTGATATTCAAATTTATGTGTTGGCAGATGAGAGGAGGACGCCGAACTGTTATGTAATTGCGATTGGTTCCGAGAGGGGTAGAACAAAGCAGCTGCTCTTGATGAAGTGATTACTTGGGCAAAAGAAAAGCAGTTGATCCTGTCGGGATTTTCGAATCTGCTAGGAATACTGGTATGATTCCAAGCCCAAGGCTGTGAAGTTTCGAATCTGTTGTTTATAAGTTTATTTTTAGTTTTATTATTTGTTGGCTGTGAAGTTGTGAATTGTAGCTTTAGCTGCTTTATTGATCTTCGGTTTTACTTGAAAAAGGATGTACTGAAAGTAAATGATGAATCAAAAAGCCTAATATCATGAAAGTCGTTTTTCTTGTAAGAAGTTCTGTAGGTCCCTCCCTTGCTCAATGAAGAACCATGGAATTACTGTCCTTTTATCTTCCATAAGTTCTTCACCATATTTTTTTAGGCCATGGACTTGTAGCTTGCTTGGGTTGCAATGAAATAAACTATATTACAAAATATAGAATCTTATCTACACAGTTACCATCCTCTCTGTACAGCCAGTTTAGACAATGCTTCTTATAGAACTTAGCCAGAATTGAAGGAAAAACAGATGGCTTGCATTGTAAAATTTAGTGCCATGCACAATTGTCTGCTTATTGATCTTTAGTTAGTCGTAAGGCCCTCAAAGTTGAGTTGAGTGGCAGTTTCAAAGCTAGCCAACACATTTGAGACTTGAGGCTGAAGTTATCTGGTTGTTAAATGCATTTTTGCACACACCTACGTTATGGAAAATATGGTGTTAAGATTTTCAATCTAATCTTATTTCACATTCAGGTTCTGAATTTTCTCTTACGAACATTCCTTTAGGTCATGATGATGAACGATATGAGAGACATACTAGTGCCTGGATCAATTTTTGAGACTGATTTGAGTCAAGGGCAGAATGATGGCAATCAATTTGTTGAAATCGAAGGTACTTTCTTTGTTCAATTGAATGATTTGTCTGAATTGAAGATCAATGCATAATTATTTTTTTTCATTAATAATCATGCAGGATGGTCCGATTCATATAAAGTTTGTTGTAAACAATTAGGGATGCATGAAATATAACCACACATCTCATTAAGGTAAGTCATTGCTTTTACAAAACTTTTATCCTTTTATTTACCGGTCAAAGTTTAACAAAAATGGTTAATGTTCACTTTTAATGGTTTCAACATTATTGCTCATATTTCCTTTGCTAATGGAGAAGATTTTGATTAATAACTATGTTGTGAAAATTTCAGATGGAAATGGAGGACATAGATGGAGATGATAAAGTGGAGGTCAAGGAATCTAACTCCGGTTGCTACTTTCAACACTCCACGTAAGAAATTTTCTACTTGACATCATAAACTACCTTATCTATAGCCTAGATCTCATGAGAATTACGTTATTGTCCTATATTTAATCTTTATTATATCTTTGCCTTTTCTTTTTGATGTTCCTTGTGTTCTACTGATATCATGTTTCTGGTTCTATTTGACATCATAAACTACCTTATCTGTCGGTTAGGTTCCTATATTTAATCTTTATTGTATATCTTTGAATGAATGAGTTTTATTTTTTATTTTTTATTTTTTATTTTTTATTTTTAAGCTTTCATTGAAATTAAATGAAAGAATACAAGATGAACACTCCACCTCAAGAGGAGCCTAATTGACCTAAAAAAGTGATCCAATATAGGAAAATAAGATCTAAACTAAAGGATAAAACCTCAAGGTGTTCCAATGGAATTACAACCTGTAGGTTGGAAAGACCAAAGACGATAAGCTCTACATTATAAGGAAACACAAGGATGACCAAGGAAGACTTGTCAGTCTCAACAAAGGATGTTGAAAAGAGAATCAAAAGGAACAAATGTAGGAACAAGAAAATGCCTTAGGGCATAAGTTAAGAACTAAAGACTACAATGACTAATTATAAGAATTATGAAAGGCCAAGGGTAGTTACAAGGATTAAGGAAAGCTTTGTAATACCAAGAAAAGAAGAACTCAAGACCCAGAGGACCCATGTTGTGCAAGAAAGGAAAAAAAAGGAATATCTAAGATAAGGCTTGATAATCTCAACAAAGGGTGTTGAGTAGACAGTCAAAAGGAACAAATCTTGGAACAAATACGCGCTTTAAGACTTGTTAAGAACTAAAGGCCACAAGGACTTATTATAAGGATTATGGACGACCAAGGAATGTTACAAGGATTAAGGAAGACCTTGTAATACCGAGAAAAGAAGATCTTAAGACCCACAGAACCATGACAAGAACTCAGGACTAAAGAACAAAATCTAAAGACCAAAGTTTTGAGGGCAAGGACATGAACATGACAAGTAAATGAGTGTGGTAGGTACTATCATCTACCATGTACACGAAGAGCCTACAAATAGGCTACTTATCTAGTCTTTGTCTGCATTCTAGTTCTTCCTTATTTTTTAGGTTATCAAGAAGGTGCTGGTTGAGGATGAGAGTAGATCTGTAGCAGGTGCCATAGAGAGCCACATCGAGTTTTCAACTATTTAATGTTTTAAGTTTGCTTACTGGGCCCAATGTTTTAAGTTGGTTTTCAACTATTTATGTTTTTGTTTTAAAATTGAAAAAATTTACCATCCTCTTTTTACGTTTTCAAGTTTTTAGTATGTCACGACTCGTGGCAAAAGTGGTATCACAGCAAAGCTTCTCTATGGCCCTGCTTAAGAGACACTGTCGCCTTAACCAAGTATGTACACTTTTTAAGACTTGATAAGTATGCCAAAGGATTTTAAGTGATTGATTAACTTTAGGATTACTATGTAAGCTAAGACTCAAGGTGACTTCAAAACCCCCCAAGGACAGTAACCTTAAAAGTTCAAAAAAGAAATAACTAAGGCTTTAGATTTCCAAGAACACGATTGTCTCCAGAAAAAAGTCCTCACAATGTCAATTGTAGTTACAAGGATTAAGGAAAGGCTTGTGACACCAAGGATAGAAGATCTTAAAACCATAAGAACTTTTACAAGACGGAACAAAAGGAATCACAACGGTACAATCTTGAAGGGAACAACATTGTTTATGTCCAGGCTTGTTTGAAGATATGCTCAAAGAATAAGAAAACGTAGGGATGACCAAGGAAGACTTGACAATCTCAACAAGGGATGTTGAGAAGACAGTCGAAAGAAACAAATGTCGGAACAAGTACATGTCTTAAGCCCACAAGGTCTGATTATAAAGATTATTAATGACCAATGGTAGTAACAGGGATTAAGAAATAAAGGGCACAAGCGCGGATTATAAAGACATGTCGGAGAAGGAAAAACCTATAAATGGACCCTTCAGAAATTTGAAAGGACATAACTAAGGATAAGTAGTACCCCAAGACAAAGTAAGAACAATGAACTATCGAGGAAGAAAGTGCTTAACAGGGTGAGAATTTGTAAGATCCCAAGTAAGGTTAAGGCACTCGAGTATGTGAAACAAGGATGTTGACAAGACAGTCAAGGGCCAAATGTCGAAACAAGTACATGACTTTAAGGTATAAATTAAGAACTAGAGGGCACAAGAGCTGATTATAAAGACATGTCGGAGAAGGGAAAACCTATAAATGGACCCTTAAGAAACTTGGACGGACAAAACTAAGAATAAGTGCCTGAAGACAAACTTTCAAGGACGAAAGTTCTTAAGAGGGTGAGAATTTGTAAGACCCAAAGTAAGGTTGAGACACTCGAGTATGTCGAAACAAGGATGTTAACAAGTCAAGGGACAAATGTCGGAATAAGTACATGGCCTTAAGGCATAAGTTAAGAACTAAATGACACAAGGGCTAATTATAATAAAGACATGTCGGAGAAGGGCAAACCTTTAAATGGACTCTTAAGAAACTTGGAAGGACAAAACTATGGATAAGTACTCCTAAGACAAGGTAAGATCAATAATCGAGGACGAGTTCTTAAGAGGTTGAGAATTTGTAAGGCGCCACGTAAGGTTAAGACACTCGATTATGTCGAAAAAAGGATGTTGACAAGATAGTCAAGGGGCAAATGTCGGAACAAGTACATGACCTTAAAGCATACGTTAAGAACTAAAGGGCACAAAGGCTGATTATAAAGACATGTTGGAGAAGGAAAAACCTATAAATGGACCCTTAAGAAACTTGAAAGGACATAACTAAGGATAAGTACCCCAAGACAAGGTAAGAATAATGAACTATCAAGGACGAAAGTGCTTGAAAGGGTGAGAATTTGTTAGATCCCAAGTAAGGTTAAGCCACTCGAGTATGTTGAAACAAGGATGTTGACAAAATAGTCAAGGGCCAAATGTCGGAACAAGAACATGACTTTATGGCATAAGTTAAGAACTAAAGGGCACAATGCTGATTATAAAGACATGTCGGAGATGGGAAAACCTATAAATGGACCCTTAAGAAACTTGGAAGGACACAACTAAGGATAAGTACTCCAATACAAGATAAGAACAATGAACATTCAAGGACGAAAGTTCTTAAGAGGGTGAGAATTTGTAAGACCACAAGTAAGGTTGAGACACTCGAGTTCGTCGAAACAAGGATGTTAACAAGTCGAGGGACAAATGTCGGAATAAGTACATGGCCTTAAGTCATAAGTTAAGAACTAAAGAGCACAAGGGCTGATTATAAAGACATGTCGAAGAAGGGCAAACCTATAAATGGACCCTCAAGAAACTTGTTAGGACACAACTAAGGATAAGTACCCCAAGACAAGATAAGAACAACGAATTTTCGAGAACTAAAGTTCTTATAAGGGTGAGAATTTGTAAGACCCTAGGTAAGGTTAAGACACTCGAGTATGTCGAAACAAGGATGTTGACAAGACAGTCAAGGGCCCTTAAGAAACTTGAAAGGACATAACTAAGGATAAGTACCCCAAGACAAGGTAAGAACAATGAACTATCAAGGACGAAAGTGCTTGAAAGGGTGAGAATTTGTTAGATACCAACTAAGGTTAAGACACTCGAGTATGTCGAAACAAGGATGTTGACAAAATAGTCAAGGGCCAAATGTCGGAACAAGAGCATGACTTTATGGCATAAGTTAAGAACTAAAGGGCACAATGCTGATTATAAAGACATGTTGGAGATGGGAAAACCTATAAATGGACCCTTAAGAAACTTGGAAGGACACAACTAAGCATAAGTACTCCAATACAAGATAAGAACAATGAACATTCAAGGACGAAAGTTCTTAAGAGGGTGAGAATGTGTAAGACCACAAGTAAGGTTGAGACACTCGAGTTCGTCGAAACAAGGATGTTAACAAGTCGAGGGACAAATGTCGGAATAAGTACATGGCCTTAAGTCATAAGTTAAGAACTAAAGAGCACAAGGGCTGATTATAAAGACATGTCGAAGAAGGGCAAACCTATAAATGGACCCTCAAGAAACTTGTTAGGACACAACTAAGGATAAGTACCCCAAGACAAGATAAGAACAATGAATTTTCGAGGACTAAAGTTCTTATAAGGGTGAGAATTTGTAAGACCCTAGGTAAGGTTAAGACACTCGAGTATGTCGAAACAAGGATGTTGACAAGACAGTCAAGGGCCAAATGTTGAAACAAGTACATGACTTTAAGTCATAAGTCTTACTAAAGGGCACAATGCTGATTATAAAGACATGTTGGAGATGGGAAAACCTATAAATGGATCCTTAAGAAACTTGGAAGGACAAAACTAAGGATAAGTACTCTAAGACAAGATAAGAACAATGAACTTTCAAGGACGAAAGTTCTTTAGAGGGTGAGAATTTGTAAGACCCCAAGTAAAGTTTAGACACTCGAATACGTCGAAACAAGGATGTTAACAAGTCGAGGGACAAATGTCGGAATAAGTACATGGCCTTAAGTCATAAGTTAAGAACTAAAGAGCACAAGGGCTGATTATAAAGACATGTCGAAGAAGGGCAAACCTATAAATGGACCCTCAAGAAACTTGTTAGGACACAACTAAGGATAAGTACCCCAAGACAAGATAAGAACAATGAATTTTCGAGGACTAAAGTTCTTATAAGGGTGAGAATTTGTAAGACCCTAGGTAAGGTTAAGACACTCGAGTATGTCGAAACAAGGATGTTGACAAGACAGTCAAGGGCCAAATGTTGAAACAAGTACATGACTTTAAGTCATAAGTCTTACTAAAGGGCACAATGCTGATTATAAAGACATGTTGGAGATGGGAAAACCTATAAATGGATCCTTAAGAAACTTGGAAGGACAAAACTAAGGATAAGTACTCTAAGACAAGATAAGAACAATGAACTTTCAAGGACGAAAGTTCTTTAGAGGGTGAGAATTTGTAAGACCCCAAGTAAAGTTTAGACACTCGAATACGTCGAAACAAGGATGTTAACAAGTCGAGGGACAAATGTCGGAATAAGTACATGGCCTTAAGTCATAAGTTAAGAACTAAAGAGCACAAGGGCTGATTATAAAGACATGTCGAAGAAGGGCAAACCTATAAATGGACCCTTAAGAAACTTGTTAGGACACAACTAGGGATAAGTACCCCAAGACAAGGTAAGAACAACGAACTTTCGAGGACTAAAGTTCTTATGAGGGTGAAAATTTGTAAGACCGCTGGTATGACTAAATCACTCGAGTATGTCGAAACAAGGATGTTGACAAGACAGTCAATGGCCAAATTTCAGAACAAGTACATGACTTTAAGGCATAAGTTAAGAACTAAAGGCACAATGCATATTATAAAGACATGTCGGAGATGGGAAAACCTATAAATGGACCGTTAAGAAACTTGGAAGGACAAAACTAAGGATAAGTACTCTAAGACAAGATAAGAACAATAAACTTTCAAGGACGAAAGTTCTTAAGATGGTGAGAATTTGTAAGACCCCAAGTAAGGTTGAGACACCTGAATACGTCGAAACAAGGATGTTAACAAGTCAAGGGATAATGTCGGAATAAGTACATGGCCTTAAGTTATAAGTTAAGAACTAAGGAGCACAAGGGCTGATTATAAAGGCATGTCGAAAAAGGGCAAACCTTTAAATGGACCCTCAAGAAACTTGTTAGGACACAACTAAGGATAAGTACCCCAAGACAAGGTAAGAACAACGAACTTTCGAGGACTAAAGTTCTTATGAGGGTGAGAATTTGTTAGACCGCACGTATGGTTAAATCACTCGAGTATGTCGAAACAAGGATGTTGACAAGGTAGTCAAGAGCCAAATTTCGGAACAAGTACATGACTTTAAGGCATATGTTAAGAACTAAAGGGCACAATGCTGATTATAAAGACATGTCAGAGATTTGAAAACCTGAAAACCTATAACTGGACCCTTAAGAAACTTGGAAGGCCAAAACTAAGGATAAGTACTCCAAGAGAAGATAAGAGTAATGAACTTTCAAGGACGAAAGTTCTTAAGAGGGTGAGAATTTGTAAGACCACAAGTAAGGGTGAGACACTTGAGTATGTCGAAACAAGGATGTTAACAAGTCGAGGGACAAATGTCGGAATAAGTACATGGCCTTAAGTCATAAGTTAAGAACTAAAGAGCACAAGGGCTGATTATAAACACATGTCAAAGAAGGGCAAACCTATAAATGGACCCTCAAGAAACTTTTTAGGACACAACTAATGATAAGTACCCAAGACAAGGTAAAAACAACAAACTTTCGAGGACTAAAGTTTTTATGAGGGTGAGAATTTGTAAGACCGCAGGTATGGTTAAGACACTCGAGTATGTCGAAACAAGGATGTTAACAAAACAGTCAAGGGCCAAATGTCGGAACAAGTACATGACTTTAAGGCTTAAGTTAAGATCTAAAGGGCACAATGCTGATTATAAAGACATGTCGGAGATGGGAAAACCTATAAATGGATCCTTAAGAAACTTGGAAGGACAAAACAAGGATAAGTACTCCAAGAGAAGATAAGAACAATGAACCTTCAAGGACGAAAGTTCTTATGAGGGTGAGAATTTGTAAGACCACAAGAAAGGTTGAGACACTAGAGTATGTCGAAACAAGGATGTTAACAAGTCGAGGGACAAATGTCGGAATAAGTACATGGCCTTAAGTCATAAGTTAAGAACTAAAGAGCACAAGGTCTTATTATAAAGACATGTCAAAGAAGGGAAAACCTATAAATGGACCCTGGAGAAACTTGTTAGGACACAACTAATGATAAGTACCCAAGAGAAGGTAAGAACAACGAACTTTCGAGGACTAAAGTTCTTATGAGGGTGAGAATTTGTAAGACCGTAGGTATGGTTAAAACACTCGAGTATGTCGAAACAAGGATGTTGACAAAACAGTCAAGGTCTGAATGTCGGAACAACTACATGACTTTATGGCATAAGTTAAGAACTAAAGGGCACAATGCTGATTATAAAGACATGTCGGAGATGTGAAAACCTATAAATGGACCCTTAAGAAACTTGGAAGGACAAAACTGAGGATAAGTACTCCAAGACAAGATAAAAACAATGAACTTTCAAGGACGAAAGTTCTTAGGAGGGTGAGAATTTATAACACCCCAAGTATGGTTGAGACACTCGAGTGTGTCGAAACAAGGATGTTAACAAGTCGAGGGACAAATGTCGGAATAAGTCCATGGCCTTAAGTCATAAGTTAAGAAATAAAGAGCACAAGGGCTGATTATTAAGACATGTCGAAAAAGGTCAAACCTAAAAATGGACCCTTAAGAAACTTGTTAGGACCTAACTTAAGATATGTACCCCAAGACAAGGTAAGAACAACAAACTTTTGAGGACTAAAGTTCATATGAGGGTGAGATATTGTAAGACCCCAAGTATGGTTTGGACACTCGAGTATGTCGAAACAAGGATGTTGACAAAACAGTCAAGGGCTAAATGTTGGAATAAGTACATCACTTTAAGTCATATGTTAAGAATTAATGGGCACAATGCCTGTTTATAAAGACATGTCGGAGATGTGAAAACCTATAAATGGACCCTTAAGAAACATGGAAGGATAAAACTAAGGATAAGTACTCCAATAAAAGATTAGAACAATGAACTTTCAAGGACGAAAGTTCTTAAGCGGGTGAGAATTTGTAAGACCCCAAGTAAGGTTGAGACACTTGAGTTCGTCGAAACAAGGATGTTAACAAGTCGAGGGACAAATGTCGGAATAAGTACATGGCCTTAAGTCATAAGTTAAGAACTAAAGAGCACAAGGGCTGATTATAAAGATATGTCGAAGAAGGGCAAACCTATAAATGGACCCTCAAGAAACTTGGAAGGACACAACTAACGAAGATATGTCGAAGAAGGGCAAACCTATAAATGGACCCTCAAGAAACTTGGAAGGACACAACTAACGATAAGTACCCCAAGACAAGGTAAGAACAACAAACTTTTGAGGACTAAAGTTCTTATGAGGGTGAGAATTTGTAAGACTGCAGGTATAGTTAAGACACTCGAGTATGTCGAAACAAGGATGTTGACAAAAAAGTCAAGGGCCAAATGTCAGAACAAGTACATGACTTTAAGTCCTAAGTTAAGAACTAAAGGGCACAATGTTGATTATAAAGACATGTCGGAGATGGGAAAACCTATAAATGGACCCTTAAGAAACTTGGAAGGACAAAACTAAGGATAAGTACTCCAAGACAAGATAAGAACAATGAACTTTCAAGGACGAAAGTTCTTAAGAGGGTGAGAATTTGTAAGACCCCAAGTATGGTTGAGACAATAGAGTTCGTCGAAACAAGGATGTTAACAAGCCGTGGGACAAATGTCGGAATAAGTACATGGCCTTAAGTCATAAGTTAAGAATCAAAGAGCACAAGGGCTGATTATAAAGATATGTCGAAGAAGGGCAAACCTATAAATGGACCCTCAAGAAACTTGGAAGGACACAACTAAGGATAAGTACCCCAAGACAAGGTAAGAACAACAAACTTTTGAGGACTAAAGTTCTTATGAGGGTGAGAATTTGTAAGACTGCAGGTATAGTTAAGACACTCGAGTATGTCGAAACAAGGATGTTGACAAAAAAGTCAAGGGCCAAATGTCAGAACAAGTACATGACTTTAAGTCCTAAGTTAAGAACTAAAGGGCACAATGTTGATTATAAAGACATGTCGGAGATGGGAAAACCTATAAATGGACCCTTAAGAAACTTGGAAGGACAAAACTAAGGATAAGTACTCCAAGACAAGATAAGAACAATGAACTTTCAAGGACGAAAGTTCTTAAGAGGGTGAGAATTTGTAAGACAACAAGTAAGGGTGAGACACTCGAGTATGTCGAAACAAGGATGTTAACAAGTCGAAGGACAAATGTCAGAATAAGTACATGGCCTTAAGTCATAAGTTAAGAACTAAAGAGCACAAGGGCTGATTATAAAGACATGTCAAAGAAGGGAAAACCTATAAATGGACCCTTAAGAAACTTGGAAGGACAAAACTAAGGATAAGTACTCCAAGAGAAGATAAGAGTAATGAACGTTCAAGGACGAAAGTTCTTAAGAGGGTGAGAATTTGTAAGACTGCAGGTATAGTTAAGACACTCGAGTATGTCGAAACAAGGATGTTGACAAAAAAGTCAAGGGCCAAATGTTCGAACAAGTACATGACTTTAAGGCCTAAGTTAAGAACTAAAGGGCACAATGCTGATTATAAAGACATGTCGGAGATGTGAAAACCTATAAATGGACCCTTAAGAAACTTGGAAGCACAAAACTAAGGATAAGTACTCCAAGAGAAGATAAGAGTAATGAACGTTCAAGGACGAAAGTTCTTAAGAGGGTGAGAATTTGTAAGACAACAAGTAAGGGTGAGACACTCGAGTATGTCGAAACAAGGATGTTAACAAGTCGAAGGACAAATGTCAGAATAAGTACATGGCCTTAAGTCATAAGTTAAGAACTAAAGAGCACAAGGGCTGATTATAAAGACATGTCAAAGAAGGGAAAACCTATAAATGGACCCTCAAGAAACTTGTTAGGACACAACTAACGATAAGTACCCCAAGACAAGGTAAGAACAACCAACTTTTGAGGACTAAAGTTCTTATGGGGGTGAGAATTTGTATGACCGCAGGTATGGTTAAGACACTCGTATATGTCGAAACATGGATGTTGACAAAACAGTCCAAAGGCCAAATGTCGGAACAAGTACATGACTTTAAGGCCTAAGTTAAGAACTAAAGGGCACAAAGTTGATTATAAAGACATGTCGGAGATGGGAAAACCTATAAATGGACCCTTAAGAAACTTGGAAGGACAAAACTAAGGATAAGTACTCCAAGACAAGATAAGAACAATGAACTTTCAAGGACGAAAGTTCTTAAGAGGGTGAGAATTTGTAAGACCCCAAGTATGGTTGAGACAATAGAGTTCGTCGAAACAAGGATGTTAACAAGCCGTGGGACAAATGTCGGAATAAGTACATGGCCTTAAGTCATAAGTTAAGAATCAAAGAGCACAAGGGCTGATTATAAAGATATTTCGAAGAAGGGAAAACCTATAAATGGACCCTCAAGAAACTTGGAAGGACACAACTAAGGATAAGTACCCCAAGACAAGGTAAGAACAACAAACTTTTGAGGACTAAAGTTCTTATGAGGGAGAGAATTTGTAAGACCGCAGGTATAGTTAAGACACTCGAGTATGTCGAAACAAGGATGTTGACAAAAAAGTCAAGGGCCAAATGTTCGAACAAGTACATGACTTTAAGGCCTAAGTTAAGAACTAAAGGGCACAATGCTGATTATAAAGACATGGAACAAGTACATGACTTTAAGGCCTAAGTTAAGAACTAAAGGGCACAATGCTGATTATAAAGACATGTCGGAGATGTGAAAACCTATAAATGGACCCTTAAGAAACATGGAAGCACAAAACTAAGGATAAGTACTCCAAGAGAAGATAAGAGTAATGAACGTTCAAGGACGAAAGTTCTTAAGAGGGTGAGAATTTGTAAGACAACGAGTAAGGGTGAGACACTCGAGTATGTCGAAACAAGGATGTTAACAAGTCGAAGGACAAATGTCAGAATAAGTACATGGCCTTAAGTCATAAGTTAAGAACTAAAGAGCACAAGGTCTGATTATAAAGACATGTCAAAGAAGGGAAAACCTATAAATGGACCCTCAAGAAACTTGTTAGGACACAACTAACGATAAGTACCCCAAGACAAGGTAAGAACAACCAACTTTTTAGGACTAAAGTTCTTATGGGGGTGAGAATTTGTAAGACCGCAGGTATGGTTAAGACACTCGTATATGTCGAAACATGGATGTTGACAAAACAGTCCAAAGGCCAAATGTCGGAACAAGTACATGACTTTAAGGCCTAAGTTAAGAACTAAAGGGCACAATGCTGATTATAAAGACATGTCGGAGATGTGAAAACCTATAAATGGACCCTTAAGAAACTTGGAAGCACAAAACTAAGGATAAGTACTCCAAGAGAAGATAAGAGTAATGAACGTTCAAGGACGAAAGTTCTTAAGAGGGTGAGAATTTGTAAGACAACGAGTAAGGGTGAGACACTCGAGTATGTCGAAACAAGGATGTTAACAAGTCGAAGGACAAATGTCAGAATAAGTACATGGCCTTAAGTCATAAGTTAAGAACTAAAGAGCACAAGGTCTGATTATAAAGACATGTCAAAGAAGGGAAAACCTATAAATGGACCCTCAAGAAACTTGTTAGGACACAACTAACGATAAGTACCCCAAGACAAGGTAAGAACAACCAACTTTTGAGGACTAAAGTTCTTATGTGGGTGAGAATTTGTAAGACCGCAGGTATGGTTAAGACACTCGTATATGTCGAAACATGGATGTTGACAAAACAGTCCAAAGGCCAAATGTCGGAACAAGTACATGACTTTAAGGCCTAAGTTAAGAACTAAAGGGCACAAAGTTGATTATAAAGACATGTCGGAGATGGGAAAACCTATAAATGGACCTTTAAGAAACTTGGAAGGACAAAACTAAGGATAAGTACTCCAAGACAAGATAAGAACAATGAACTTTCAAGGACGAAAGTTCTTAAGAGGGTGAGAATTTGTAAGACAACAAGTAAGGGTGAGACACTCGAGTATGTCAAAACAAGGATGTTAACAAGTCGAAGGACAAATGTCAGAATAAGTACATGGCCTTAAGTCATAAGTTAACAAGTCGAAGGACAAATGTCAGAATAAGTACATGGCCTTATGTCATAAGTTAAGAACTAAAGAGCACAAGGGCTGATTATAAAGACATGTCAAAGAAGGGAAAAGCTATAAATGGACCCTCAAGAAACTTGTTAGGACACAACTAACGATAAGTACCCCAAGACAAGGTAAGAACAACCAACTTTTTAGGACTAAAGTTCTTATGGGGGTGAGAATTTGTAAGACCGCAGGTATGGTTAAGACACTCGTATATGTCGAAACATGGATGTTGACAAAACAGTCCAAAGGCCAAATGTCGGAACAAGTACATGACTTTAAGGCCTAAGTTAAGAACTAAAGGGCACAATGCTGATTATAAAGACATGTCGGAGATGTGAAAACCTATAAATGGACCCTTAAGAAACTTGGAAGCACAAAACTAAGGATAAGTACTCCAAGAGAAGATAAGAGTAATGAACGTTCAAGGACGAAAGTTCTTAAGAGGGTGAGAATTTGTAAGACAACAAGTAAGGGTGAGACACTCGAGTATGTCGAAACAAGGATGTTAACAAGTCGAAGGACAAATGTCAGAATAAGTACATGGCCTTAAGTCATAAGTTAAGAACTAAAGAGCACAAGGGCCGATTATAAAGACATGTTGAAGAAGGGCAAANCTATAAATGGACCCTCAAGAAACTTGTTAGGACACAACTAAGGATAAGTACCCCAAGACAAGGTAAGAACAAAAAACTTTTGAGGACTAAAGTTCTTATGAGGGTGAGAATTTGTAAGACCGCAGGTATGGTTAAGACACTCGAATATGTCGAAACAAGGATGTTGACAAAACAGTCCAACGGCCAAATGTCGGAACAAGTACATGACTTTAAGGCCTAAGTTAAGAACTAAAGGGCACAATGCTGATTATAAAGACATGTCGGAGATGTGAAAACCTATAAATGGACCCTTAAGAAACTTGGAAGCA